AATTTTGTGAATGTCTTTCAAAATAAACAGTTTCCAAGTACTATTGACTAAAATCTTTTTTAAAAGATCGTTTTTCGTACAACCTTGAATTAATGTACCTCCAAACTGATTCTTCTGTTTGCATTCAACGTATTGCGAACCGACACGCCTAAGACATCGAACGTTCGTAGATACAAAAGTAGAATTTACGCCGAAATGGTTGACTTTAGGAGTTAAAGCATTGATTAAGGATTTTTTACTCCTCTCAGTGAGCACTATAGGCCCCCGAAGTTTCAAACACTTTTTTTTAACACCCTATATACACCTTTCGTTCTTAACACGTTCAATACGGCGTGATCCAACGGTGAGTCATCGAGTGATTATGGGTGGGTTTTATTCGTCGATGTCACCATAGATGACGAACGAGATTGAATAAACGGTGTGACCCACAGGTGGGTCATCACAATATTCTATGAAAAACACATATACTTCACAAGTAAAAAAAGTAGAAACTGAAAAATTAAGTATTAACCCTCTGCACTTGTAGGTATTTTTGCTACAAGAAAGGTTGCAAATCTGAAATTTTTCAAAACTAACGTAGAAGTATTTCGTTTAAATATTTACCGTATTCATTATTTCGCTATGGTGAACAAATTTATGGAGGCCCATAGATCTGCTATACCAGAAAAATATTAGCTCTAAGAAGGTCCTCATCAATTACTTACCAAGTGACAATTATCTAACGTCGCTTCTCGATTGCAAAGGGTTAACGATAACAAATCATCCTGTTCCAATAAACACCGGTTGTACCGACTATTTCGCCAATTTCACCGTCGTCCTGAACGTGTTAAAGGGTTAAATAGTATCATCGTCAGGTATCATCATCATTCTAGCATAAAAGTTAAAAATCAGTTAATCCATCAATAAAACCGATCTATTCGTCCGTGAACCAGGTGGCCAGGAGTACAGGAACAACAACAACAGCAACTTCGAGAACCCGAGCGACCTGAGCATGCCCCCTCAGACCGCGCACCACCACCATCATCACCATCACTCGCACCTCCATCCGCAGACTCACTCGCAGGAGCAGCAGACCACGGAGCACTTGCACGCGATCCCGAAGCTGGAGCCACCGCCCACCCCGCCGGCCCAGTCCGACGATGTCCCGGGGGTGGTTTGCGCCGGATGCGGCCTCCGGATATCCGACAGGTTTTACCTGCAGGCAGTGGACAGGCGGTGGCACGCTGCTTGCCTGCAGTGCTCCCACTGTCGCCAGGGCCTCGACGGCGAAGTCACCTGCTTCAGCAGGGACGGAAACATTTACTGCAAGAAGGACTACTATCGGTGAGTCGACGACATTCGTTACGGTGATTAAACCCTCGACTGGTGGCCAGACGTAAGTTGTTACGTAACCGTTCGAGGTCGAGACGGTGAATTTACGTTTATCGCAGATAGTGGATTATCTTGGACTACTGACAGATTAATGTAGGTTCTTTTTTCTCTCTTCTTCTTCGTTCTCACCGGGTCCTTACAGTCGAGGGTTGAGATTTATTTCGGTGGAGTTTGATGGCAGATTTTAATTTAACGGTAATTCTAATTGAAAACAATCGGAGATCGGAGAGGAATTGTCGCAAAGGAAGCGAGATTTGTGAAATATAGATAAATGGTGTAGTTAAATGAGGATATGTTGATTTTTCTTTTTTTGCGTCTACTTGGAGATTTGTGAAAATGTGTGAAGAGGCGTTCGAGGACAATAATTTGGTAAACGTGATACGGTAAACGAACTTTCAGTTGTATACCGAGATAAAGGGGTGGATTTCAGACTTACAAATAGAGAAATGGTCGGAAATAATTCGCAATCTTTGCGGCTTCGTTAAATTCTCGACATTAGGTTAATCCAGAAGTCTATTTTATAATAAGCCGCACGTTTATCGCCGAGATAAAACTGGCAGGTACGATCGTCAATAATGATCGAATCGTAAAATCCAAAGTTTCGAGATTTCTAATGTTTTTCCATCAAGTGCAGATTAAATAAATTACACGTGCCGTATTTATCCCTTTCTTTTTGTCCATCGATAGTAATAGCGGTTTACAACTGTATTTATATCTGCATGAATCTTCATGCGGCCGGTTGATAATCCCCCCTTTCTCCGCTTCTTGACCAAGCAATTAAATTAAACCGCAAAGTATAGTGTCTCTGGTGTTTATCGACACTGGTTCCCCAGGAAATCCGTAGCTCTGCGGTTGGTGCAGTATCGTGGCTTCGGAATGGACCATATCTGTGAGGCCTTGATATTTCTCAGTTTATTTTTATGTACATATTGCACCTGTAATGTGTTCCTCCGAAATCACAGGATTCATTCTTTTTTGCTGCTTTTATTTGAGATTTCAGTCGCTTGAAAGTATTGCGAAATTTCGGAGCATTATTTTAGTCATTTTTAGATATTAGTGATTGTGGGATTTTGGTCATCTTGGAATTTCAGTCATTTTGGGATTTCAGTCATTTTATGATTTCAGTCATTTTGGGATTTCAGTCATTTTGGGATTTCAGTCACTTTGGGATTTCAGTCATTTTGGAATTTCAGTCACTTTGAGATTTCAGATATTTGGGACTTCAGCCTTTCTCAGAAAATTTTACATTTCTAATCTTTTAGGTGAATTCTCTAAAGTCTCAATTTTCCTCTAATTTTCCCAGAGAACTGAATCATTCCACATTTCCCAAATCCCTCAATTTCCATTTTTTAATCCTCGCATCGAACACTTTCTCAACTTTATCAACATTCCAGTTCGCTATACCAATAATCCAAAATTTCACAACACCTTTAATCTGTATTATTCGTTCAAATTCCATTTAATGTCCCTCCTCGAATTGAACTTTTCATTTCTATTTCCATCGTTGCATTAGTCTCGATTTCCGTGATGTGTCGCAAAATCTGAACGGGGTTAGGCTCGTTACACGCCGCCAAGAATAAGCCAGGACGCTCGTCATGGCGGCAAGTCAACCGCGAAGCGGCAATTTCTGTAATTCCAGGGGCCATTCGTGGCAGGCCGTGATTTCAGAGCGGGCGAAGCGTTTGCGCAACGCTCGCCTCGACGAAGGCCTCGAATCTCTTCAACAGCGACGATAAGGGCCCGGTTTTATCGACGTGCACGCGATTGACAATAAATTACCGCTGCACCGAGAGGAATAACAAAAAATTATCGCGACACTGCGACTTGTGCGCGCGGAAAACAATGAGATACCACCGAGTAAAACGACTTGACTTTCTTCAAAAGTTCCGTCGACGAAGAATTTGAAACTGTATGAAATAATTCGCATGATTTTCAACGGAGTAAACTCCATAAAAAATGATCGAAGATCAATTGTACCATTAAAAAATTTATTATTATTATCGCAAAACTGTTAGAAAGGTATATGATTTTTTTTATTATATTAGAATATACGTTGAATTAAATCGAACTACATTTAAGGTATTCAATTTTTTCACTCCATTATTGTAAGAATATGAATTATTCTTCGACTAGAAGATTTTTTGTACGAAATTTTTTTATCAGAATATCCGTAATAAATTACGCAACCGCGGCGATTTCTGTAAGGGCAGGAAAAGCTGTATCAACCGTTGCAACCACTCGAATTCCGCGGCTCCTTTAAAGCCACGAGACGAAATTCCCATAGATGTTATACACATAGAGTGTACCACAAGCGAACTTGGCACAGCTTCGTAAGAATTCTCTCACGTTTCGCCTGCGCCAGTGATTTCCATTCCGAGAAACAATTGCGCCCTCGACGCAAGCAGGCAGCGTACGCGGAAATCACCTGTCTTGCCATATTTCGCGCCGGTTCGAGACACTAATCCTTTAGGACGCGATCATTTCGCCGATCTTTTTCGAATGAAAATCGCTTGCGTACCATTTCGAACGCCTTCGAACGAAACTTCCGCGTCTTTCGTTTGGAAGCAGACGTATGATTTCCTGGTGTGAAAGAATTTGTGGGTAAAAAATGTTTAGGCTAGAGATCAGGAACTCCATAGTTCGCGAGAGAGTTACGAGGGAGAGCCCCGATTTTGGCGAAGCGTACGTATAACGTTTGTCTTGGAAGAAATAATGTTTCACACGTACTATTTTTCTTTTTATGTGAAATTCTCATTGAAGAAATTAAAATTTTGTGTTTTTAACTTTGAAAAAGGATGAAATATGTAGGTGCTCATTGGTAAGGGTAGTTTTACAAATTGTAAACTGCAATTTTAGTGATTCTGAGATAAATAATGTTAAGCAGGTGTTGAGTTAGATACATAAAAGCATGGTTTGTTAAAAACATATTTAAAATAGTATTTTTTCGCTCTCCTAAAAAATTCGGTTTTTGCAGATTCGCTACTTTACCAGAGAAGGGATGAAATGATCTATACTACTCATTTCAAAGATTATATCCATACTAAAAATTTTGTAATTTTTGTTTGAAGTGCCATTCCCAGCATTCTCAAGTACAGTCACTACTTACAAACACAACAAAAGTAACAAAAATTTCCAGTTTAATTCACATACCACCATTTTGTCAAAATTAGGCGATCAAGTAACATTTCGTTTTTACTCAACAGTCACCAACTAATGAAAGCATCATACTTTCCCTTTTACTATCCCTCATTCCACCACAATAAATCATTAACCTAACAACTTTTCTTACACGCTGAATTTCCTCGAAGACACAATGCAAAAGTTGCTCAGGTAAATTATTCCCAAATACTCAAACTCAACCAGTCACAGTATCATCGCAGAGATAAAACAGTCATCTCCATCCAGTTGCTCCATAAATCTTCCACTTCTGCTAGCAGTAGGAATGAAAATATCAAAGCAGCTCAGTCATCTCGATACTCCGATCGTCCCCGTTCGATCGTCCAGCGAAATAATTCAAAGGTTCATGAGGTTCATATCGTCGTCTGTGGGGACGATAGCTGGCAGAAGGGACAGGGAACATCGTGTTGGGCCGTGGAGGAGGCCTCACACGGCGCGGATATTAGCGTACTCCCTCGCTCAGCCTCACACACGGCTACTCGCTACGTACCAACTGGCCACTCCGTGGACTAATGGTCACGACTCGACCATTTACCTCCGGCGAAGCGTCGATTCTTGATAAGTAAATCACCGTCGATCTACATTTCACGAGCGACGGACGATATACACGTGCAACTGGCTGGACGTCATCGCTGAACGATGCACCAGCGTCGTCGTCGTCATCCCCCGGATGTTGTCCCACTTCTACACTTGCTTTTCTCTGTTTTTCTCATCTCGTCCTCCGTTCTGCGTCCTTCGATTCTGCCCTTCGACCTGCCGTTCTTGGGATAAATTCGAATTCCTTCGTACCTCTTTTTGCCCCGCTTTGTTAATTAGACGAGTGATGAGGCGAGGGTTGTTTGTGTGGTGCAAGTGAATTTTCAACCGTTTGCTGAGAAAGCCAAGGTAAATTTGGTGTCTTTAAATTCTGCTCTTTTGTTTTAGAGGAATAGATTGAAATTCTTTTGACCCGATTTTGCTTGGTTTGTTAATTAGACGAGTGATGAGGTGAGGGCTGTTTGTTTAAGTGAATTTTTATAGGTTTACTGACGAAGACATGGGAAATTTGCTGTCTTTAGATTCTGCTCTTCGACTTGTTCTTTTTTTTTGAGGGGGATAAATTCGAATTCTTTTGACCTCGTTTCGCTGGGATTGTTAATTAGACGAGTGATGAGGTGTGGGTTGTTTGTATGGTGCAAGTCAATTTTTAAGGGTTTTCTGAGGAAGGTTAGGCAAATTTTCTGAAGGATTATATGCGTTTAATTGTTTGTAGGAATGGAGATGGAATAAGTGGCTGAAATTGTCACTGATTTTTAGTTACGTATTTGAGAGAGTGTGAGGAATTTCTGACTGAAAGATGAACTCAATTAGGAGTTGATATTAGGTTGAGTAATGTGAAATGAGGAATACAGCTTTAAACATTACCTAAAGATTTCTCATCAGTGACTTACCAAGAATTGCACGAAGTTTAAGTTAACACGAAAAATCTCAGAACTTTTCAACACTCAAGCAATCACTAGAATGATCAATTTGCGAGCAACTAGAAATTCAACGTTACACATTACAGGATTTAATACTTGAAAATCTTACGAATTGCGTTGCAAAGTGAAAATTCAATTCTTGGTCCTCATAAAAATAGACAATATTCCTCGTTTAAACTATAAATAAGAAATAAGAAGCTCTTTGAAGAAATAAGATACAGAAATGTTCAAATTACACACTACTATCCGCTATACCTGTTCAAGTGTCGATTATTCTCTATTAGACGGTATATTTGATCGAATCAAAGATTCCGA